TTAAAACCAAATTCCTCATCCGGAGACTCCCCCTCCATGACTGCCATCCATGTGAATAATAAAGGAACAGTTTTAATGACATAAAAGTCAGTGCAGTTTACCTACTCCATTGAATTTTCTGCTGTCTAAAAATTATATAGCTTTCCATTCTGAGACAAGAAGCATATTTTCCAAACATTCATTTCTTAAATACTGACGTTATAGCCTCAGCTTTATTCATGGAAACAATTACAGTGGTATTTTGCTGATTAATTTATGAGTGAATTGTTCCTTGCATAGAGTGAAGTGGAATGTGTCGTCACAACTTTTTAAAATTTAACTACTTTTAGTTTTGTTTTGTTTTGATTTTCCTGAGGAGGTAAAAATTAACGTTGACTGCATTCACAAGAAGGGAACTACACTCCAATTGAATGAGTAAGACAAAACGAATTTATGGTCATTTTGGAAGCTTAATTGACTGAATGCCTCCTAATTAGGTGTAAGATCAAGTATGTACATGTAGCAAAGTCCCCACTTGAAACTACATGCAAAGTTTTCTTCTTTTCCCAAACTTAATTCTTTAAACCCTCACTGTTCATGGCACACGGCTGTCACCTCTCTCAAAGTCACTTGCACAGGACAGAGCACCACAACAAAGACCCAAGGAAAGCACCACAGATGAGACACTAATTGGCAGCACTATACTAATGAAAGAGGAGACCCTGCGTATTCCATGCTGCACCATGTACTTATGTACCCGCGGCAAGGAAACCAACTAACTATGCATTCACCACCTGTTCAATCTAACAGTAATTTGATTTCAGTGGGCAGAAGCTTGCTTTTCAAATTTAAACAATTTAATCATGTGTTATTTGAGGTTTACTGATGTGTTACCCTGGACTAACAATCCACACTGAAGATAGGGCTGTGCTGTTGTCTTATAAATAAAAAAATAGTACATTCAAAGCAGTTTAACCAACACAAAATCAATGCAATTAAATTAATTCAGTTTTCCGACTGATTATTGATGATAATTGTGTGAGGTTCACTGAGGTCTATACTCTGAAAATTATGGCTGAAGTTCAGAAGAATTAAACCAAACATAGTATTAAATCATGATTATGACTTTATGTCATAATTGTTGCATGTATTAAGTCATAATTATAACTTTTATCTCGTATACGTGTACATGTACTGAGTTAAAAGTCAGAAGCCTGTATGTTATCATTGTGACACCAAGCTGTCATGTGCACTTGCACATTGCATTGCATTTGTCTGTAAAATTTCATGTGCTTTCACAATAAAAGTCATAATTGTGAGATATGTCATGAATATGAGGTAATACTTAGTTACACTTTGGACATACTGTAAGTCATAATTACGACTTTGCCGGTTTGAAAAAAATCATTGGCCCCTTAATCTTTTCTAGCTTGTTAGCA